CCTGTATAATACCCCAGTACCCAGATAGCCAAACATGCGCAGATTTTACGCAGAGTTTATCAACAGTGTCTGTAGACAGAATGGCAGCAGACTGTACACAGAATCTGTTCTGACGACAGATTGGTGACAGACTGCTCGCAGAGTCTGTCGACAGACTTTGACGACAGATTGACGACAGATTGCGTACAGATTCTGTTTCCTAGATAAGCTATTTAATTCTATCAAGGGCCAAATGTACGTTATTAAATGGGGTATTTTCACATACACACCATGTAAAACTGCTGCAGAGGAGTCAAAATAATTATATTGTGCAATAATTGTACGCATGTACACAATAAAAAACAATTTTTACTTTTTAAAATTGTATTAAACATTCTTTATAAAAAAAGCAACAATAATAGAGAAATAAAGAGTACAAGTATAATACAACGGTTAAATGGCCATTTAAAGACGTACATATACCATCCCTGGTAAAAATTGTTCTCATAATTTTTCATACAATTTCTCATATTATTATTTTTTTTAATGTTATTATGTCATTAAATCTGAATGATTTAACCGTCATGCAATAAATACTGAAGGTAGCAGCACCGAATAAAGTATTAGTCTCGCTATGTAAATAACTTTTACAGAATTTTTGTGATAGTTTATTTGAAAACATATCATGCTTCGATTTTGATAAAACTTAATACAATCTGAACGAGACGATCAAATTAATTCACATATGTAAAATCAAATTAATTTGCATATGTAAAAGTACAGTATTTTATTAACATGATGGAAAAATGTCATTATCTGCTGTTTTATTGCAATAATTTTCTATATAGTCCTTGATAGAAAATTAATTTCGAATTATCGTACCGGTCTCTCTTACATTATTTATACGCTAAACGGTTTCGCCGATATTTTGCGGTTTAAAAGGCGAACAAACTCTAAGATTTTTCTTCCTTAACTTTTAAATGGGCAATACAAAGCACTTTTTATCAAGTGAGGAATTGGCGTAGTGTCTAAAGCGACGGACGATTATTCAAAAGATGTCTTCTGTTCAAGTTCGAATCTCACCAGAAAAAATCTTAAAAATTATGAAAAAATAATACAGAAAAACTTTTTTTTCATTATATTTTACGAGTATTTATGAGAAGGCGCTTATTCTATAAATAATTATGAAAAATTATGAGAAAATTTTCTACCAAAAATTTAATTGAAGAACCTACGAAACGACAGAATCTACGCGCATCTGCCGTCAGAGTCTGTCGACAGGCTCTGAGCGCAATCTGCCGCCAGTCTGTCTAACGGCAGATTGAGGACGCAGATGTCTATGGATCTGTCGACAGATCCATGGACATATGCGTTCCCAATCTGCCGTCAGACTGCTGACAGGGTTTGCTAACAGACTCTGACATCAGATTGGCAGCAGATTGCGCGCAGAGCCTACTGACAGACTCTGACGGTAGATTGGCGGCAGATTACGCACAGATTCTGTCGTTATGTAGGTTCTTTAATTAAATCCTTATTTTTTGTTAAATTCCAACAATTTATTCATTAGTATGGTTCAGATAATTGATATGATTATTCTGTCTAAATAATAAAAAAAGGACTATAATAGTATTTCATATTTTGTGTCGTTTCACTTATTCGTAAGTCTCGCGTGGTTTCGATCACGTGTCAAGCGACCACTTATCTTTAAATAACCATGCTGTTCACTGCTTGACTTCAATGATCGTACGGGAACTAGTGATGAGCCAATGCTGTAATGTAACGATATCTTGGATCATATTTAGAATATACTCTTATGTCGTTTAAAAAATGTAATGACATATTTCACAAGTTTCACAACACAGTATAGTAATATTCAATGATAATTTAATTCAATTTCCCTTACTCTTAATATTTCACTAATTGTAAGAATGAAATTTTTGGAAAAATCAGCAAATTGCAGCAAATTGTATTCTTCAATACAATTCACCATTTATTCAGTACAACTCAATATATATCAACAATTTTTCGCAAAAATCAACAAAATATTACAAGAGTTTTCAATAATTTTTCAAATGACTTAGATCCTTACTTCATCAAGTTTTCATGAATAATTACAATAATTTTCAGTAACAATCAATTAATTTCATTATATTGAATATTGAAAACTTTTATATGTTATTTTTCAACAATATTCATTATCTTTCATTACCTTTCCTTATATTTCACAATATTATATTAAATTTCTTCCTGAAAGCTATGATTAATTTTGATTTATGTTGAATTATTTTTCAATAATAGCAATTTTCCCTTTCATTTCAACGTAACTTACATTTGCAACTAATACAGAATGGCTTTTAAATAAAACATAAAACTTGAGATTGGTTATTATGATATAGGCATAAACAAACTAACACTAACCAAACTATTCGATCACAGGTCTGTATTCGTTTTACACCGTGTGCATGTGAAAGTACACCATTTAATAGTACATATGCCATTTAATTACACTCAAAAAAATGTTTTGCTGGTCCAGCTAGAATTCTAAATATTACAGTCAAAATGTATCGTTGTTTTTTGTAGCTGAGAAAATTGTCTCTAGTACGTAAAATTTTTAGCAGCAATATTATAGCATTATGTGCAGGAAAATTTAAGCCTCGTAACTAAATATGAATTGCTGCGTTTGATAAAAACGAAAATCAAAGTTGCAGCTAAAACGATCTCTGTGTGAGGAATATAGTTGAGGTATATCACTGTAGCACTAACAAGTAAACCTACGGAAGTGTCACTCTCCGATTTTTCTGAAATTTGGATATGTTATAATACATGAAAAAGTAAGGGACACGTATTTTTTTTTAGCGGCGGAAAAACATATTTAGGGTATGAAACAAGCCTCCCAAAATAGGGGGTAAAATGGAAAAATTGCGATATCTTTGAGATCAGTGAAGCGATCTTAATGATTTTTGGTATGAAAGTATCTTTTGATAGAAAACGAAAATCGGCCTAGGTATGTTGGAGGGGAGTGAAAATTAGGGGGCCAACTACCCCTAAAGTACCCCTAAGACCAATTTTTTGCTACAAAAAATCAGTTTTGATCTAATCGAAGTGAAATCTATTAAAACTTTAAAAGGAAAGCTAATTAAGGAACATGTATTTTTTGTTTTTTTTTTATATAAATATTTAGGGGGTAAATGACCCCTATATTGCCGCGCTCGTTTGACATTGCACATGAAACATCTTGTAAAACTATATTTCTGAACTGTTCGATCTTTTTAATATATTGGTTTTTGAAGTCGTTGAATCCGAATCTGAAATCAATATGGCGGATCCAATATGGCGAACGAAAACTGTAAAAATTACTTGAATAGGCAGTAACTCGACATGCGACTTTCAAAATACAATAAATTAACTTATGACATTTATTGTTAGTTATGTGAAGTGAATGAAACATGTTAAAAATATTAATTGTTTATAACCGCCGGCGTTAGCGTCACCCGAGATGCACCGCGCGGAGGTCGCACGGTCGGATATACATCTCTTCGGGGTGCTTGATTAGAGTGAGTCCACTTGCCTCTCACTATTTTCTGTAAGTGTCAGAAACGATTCATTGTTAGAACGCTTATGTACAGGTAACGTACAGGTAAAATCTTTCGTTACCTGTACATAAGCGTTCTAACAATGAATCATGTCAATTTTTCCTTTTTACCCCCTATTTTGGGAGGCTCATTTCATACCCTAAATATGTTTTTCCGCCGCTAAAAAAAAATACGTGTTCTTTACTTTATCATGTATTATAACATATCCAAATTTCAGAAAAATCGGAGAGTGACATTTCCGTAGGTTTACTTGTAAGACAGTACACTGAGAAAAAAGACTAGAAAATTTATTTGTAGAATGTAAGGCTTATTACAGGCTTATACAGAAATAAATCTCTGATTTATTTGATTTTAAATGAAATTTAGCTCTTCTATTTCTCACTATTTCCACATCTGAAAATTTATTAAGTACTGGTCGAATGCGAACTCGAGAACTTCAGATACCTCCAGGTTTTTATATAGTCTATTACCTTAGCCGCTGCGCTACTTCTTCAACTGATACTAAGTTTCTTATTATCCTCATATGTAGCCGGAACAGTAATTATAATGTTGTTATAATATTATTTATAATATTATAAATATTTATCTTTATTTATAATATTATAAATGTTTACGCTATAAATGTAATACTTTCATAATATGTTTCATTTTGTTGTTCATATTTTTCAATTCACATGTGAATTAACGGTAATTATTGCCACTGTTATCACGAAACGACAATGTATCTCCATTATTTCGCCATATTACATGATGCAATACGAATCAATGTTCTCCGATATAACAATAATAACTCCGATGTAATAACACATAAAAGATCCTAAATAGAACATAAGGATTATACATTCCTTTGTATTTCTCATTGCTAGTATTTTCTGTCTATCACAGTCACTTTTAGAAGTGTGACTGGCTATAATCTGATTAAGCACCATAGAGAAATTTTCTGTTAAATTTGACAAATGGTTCAAATATAAATTCTGTCTCTACCACTTATACTAGTTAGACAAAACATATACGATATCGCAGTGCTTTCTAGTCATTTATCTATTTTAGCTAATTTTTCATATGTAGATAATTTTTGCTATGACTGCAAGACCATTTTTTTCAGTGTAAAGAACTTACGAAACGACAGAATCTGCGCGCAATCTGCCGCAAATCTGCCGTCAAAGTCTGTCGGCAGGCTCTGCGAGCAGTCTGTCACCAATCTGTCATCAGAACAGGTTCTGTGTGCAATCTGTTGCCATTCTGTCAACAGACACTATTGACAGACTCTGCACAAAATCTGCTCGCGCAGGTTTGACTATCTGGGACATAGTGTTTTCAAGTAAAATTTTTGTTTTTTAGTAACAAATTAACTAAAATATTCTATGTTTTATATAAATATGTATTTGTTTAATATTCCATAATATAGATATATGGTTTCTATTTTAGAATTCTTCCCAACAAGGCACTAAAGTGCCTAATAGATTTGCTTGAAATCGATGCTGATGAAGACGATTAAAAATAGACGTAGCATACTATTACGTTTTTTTAAAAGCAAGCAAATATCTTGTAGGCTATATATTAAGGGAAAAAGGTTGTTTGTGCAATGAAAACCCTCAGAGTTCGTGATTTGATACTTTATTCTGTGTTCTTGAACGTGTTGAAAACAAATAGCGCATTGGATGCAGACACGTACAGTCATAGGTTATACATCTTTACATAGATGGTCTCCCCCACAAAAACATGCACGTTACACCCACGTGGAATCCATGTGGATTCCACGTGAACTCTACGTGGATTCGACGTGAATTCGACATACATTTTTGTGGGGTCGTTCGTATGACTACTATATATGGTTATGTATATTATGGTTGGTTTACACTGTTCAGGCGTTCTAGTAGAAAACAAAAGTTACATATTGTTGGAAAATAAAAAAACTTATTTAAATGGAAACAAACCAAATAAATAAAATTATTTTAACACTCTTCCTCATTTGAATAAATACTTAAACCTAGGCCCCTATTCTTAAAATAGTTACATATACGCACAGACTTCTATATAGAAACTAGACTGCTAATACCCATATTTAGCGAGTGATCGGAAAAATATAGGGTGGTCATCATCAAAGGACCATACCATATAGGAGTAATAATGACCCATACAGCACAGATCTTGCAGCAACATTGCAGTAATATAGCGGCAACACTGTTGCAACTTTTAACATTGTTGCAACGTTGCAGCAATATTGCTGCAAGATCTGTGCTGTATGGGGACATGTACTATAGCCTATTGCTTCCTCCCATTCACACATTTCCACTCAAGTCACGTATGTGAAGTCCTTTCAAAGATGACGGACGGTATTTTTCCGACCAAATAATCCTTAACTAAACTATACCTACTTAGCAGTCTAGATATTACATAGAAGTCTGTGCGTACACGTAAATGGTAAGTTGCGAATGGTTGCAATAGAAAATCCCTAGAACCATATTCTTGACAGTTGCAAGTGTAACGTATACGCAAATTATTATTCGCAATGCAACAAATAAGTCATATCATTCGTTTCTCTCCAAATATATACGGTAAGTTGTACAAAATTGCCGAAAGTGGAATATAAAAGTATATAACGAAATATAATATCCCAAGTAGCAGACATACGTCAAAATGACGTCAAAGACTGGTCGATTGACGTCAGGTGACTAAATAATGACGTCTTTAAGATGTCTTTTTGTGACGTCTTAATGACGTTTCTGTACAACGTCTTAATGACGCATTATTGACGTCATTGATTTAGAGACGTCATTAAAACGTCATTAAATTGTCTTAAAATGTAGTTATCGATCTTAGACTATCGTTTTGACGACATCTTTTGTCATTTCTTAGTCATTTTTGGTCATGAACTAACCAGATTTGAACATCATTTTGATGTGAGTCTTTTACATGGGATTCATTTTTAACCCTTTAAGTCCCACACATCGATTTCATTGGAATAAAATGTTGAAATTTGTAAAATAGTCTTAAAAGACTTTCCTTCCCTACAGCACAGATGTCCAGGAGACATCCAAAGTACATCCTAAGGAAGTCCTGAGGAGATTTCTTCGTCCTCAAGACGTCCTTAGGACGTTCTGAAAAGATCTTATACTGTCTAGGTTATGACAAATTTTTTGTCCAAATAAAATTCAAGGTCAAAAAGTACGATTTTTTGAATGTATGTAATTATGTACATTAGGCTTTTAAGGAATAAAAATGAAAAAAATATTATAAATATTTTATTTAAGAAATATTATTTATTTATTTATTTATATTTATTTATTTTGTTTCTTGTTAATAATATAATCCTATATTAAAAATAACGAAATAGAGGTTTATTAATTATTTATTTATTATGATAAGAATAAAAACAATTGCTTTTCACATGTAAGCATACCCACATAGCACAAAATGTCACAGTGACATCACAATAACGTTACTCTGTGACAATAAACTATGTTGCAATGAAGTCACAACGAAGTCATGGTGACGTGCGAATGTCCGCTTTATCATATGTGTGACATCATTATGATATGAAGAAAATGTCACAGTGATATATTTGTAACAGTGACGTATGACACTGGTTAAAAAAGCATATTTTGCAGAAACAATTGCAACTAATCAGCTTATGTTGATTTTAAATATAATTTAGCTCTTTTATTTGATTTCTTACTATTTTCGCACCTAGAAATTTATTCACAGGGAACCCCACGTAGATAACCTCCGAATTAGATGAGCTTGAAATATGTTAATTTAATAATTTAGACCAAAAAAGAAAACACGTATTTTTTATACGTGCCCAGGCGGGCTTTTAGAGGGCAAAACACTCCTTTGAAAAAAATCGGTTTTTTCTTTAGGAGCATGTTTCGTTAAAAGTATAAGAGATAGACAAAAATTTTCTGGACAACAATTAAATGATTTTAGGAGTATACTTTGCAATGATATTTCAGATATTAAAATCAGATATTTGAAAAATGTAATGATTGCCAAAATACTCCCACCACTTAACAATTTTTTTATAATTTCAAAATTTTGTATCCACCAAAAAAAATATATTTTATGCCGAATCTAATCATATATAATAATATGATTTTCCGACATACGGACTTGTTGAAAAATAGGTGGAAATATCCCCATATAATCGTAACACCATCCATCCGCCGCCTAACCTACTCGATAATATACGCAATATGTACTTATAATAATAAATGAACTTCCTCATAATAATAGGCGACTAGTACTGATATGTAGAATATATAATCAAAATATATATCAATAAATAAAAACGATAATAATAATAATAGATGTATACACAACAATGTATATATTCACATATATACATCTCATATATTCACATACATTGTTTATATAAAAGGATATATATATATATATATATATATATATATATATATACTGCTCAAAAAAATTATGGCATAGAAAAATTTTGGGCAAAAATTGGCCAACTTTGGATGACGATAACTCTACGAAAAATCATCGTAAGAGAATGATTTTTTTTTAATTAAAGCCTGAAATCTATACTTTAAAATGCTATATCTCAATTTTAAGTTTAATAAATCGCTATTACTGTAAGTCCTTAAATATGAGGGCATGTTTGCCATATTGAAAATTGCAAAGTTTGACGGACTGCAGGGATTTGCTAAAATTTTTTTCGGGGATGGCGTTTGTAGCAGTACAAAGCTCAAAGCTTCCTCTTTAATCTAAAAAAAAAACAATTCTCTGCAATTTTTTTCGCAAAGTTACAGCACTAACTACTTTAAAATAATCCTTGCATTTTTATTATGTACAGCCAGCATTGGCATTATCCGATGTGCACCACGGGGAGGTTGCCGGTCGGATTTTGCACATTGTTTGCATGTGTGTGTGTGTGTGTGTGTGTGTGTGTTTGTGTGTGTGTGTGTGTCGCAGCAGAGATAAGGACTCCACGGTCCGTCACTTCCGCGGTATTTAATAATTCCAAACTCTCTCTGCTGCATGTGTGTGTGTGTGTGTGTGTGTGTGTGTGTATGTATGCGCGCGCGTGCGCGCGTGCCTGCTTGCGTAAATTTCAATAACGCGTGTTGCCTCCGCGTTGCTCTATTACTACTTGCAGCCGCTCCCGCATGTTAATGCAGGCTCTAATTTGTTCCTGCGGAATGTCATTCCAGATTTGAACTAGGGTTTGTGATAGATCTTCCAAATTAACAGGTTGTCTTGCCAAATTTTTTAACCTACGACCCATTATGTCCCATACATGTTCTATGGGGTTCAAATCTGGACTCATTGCAGAATGTGGATTCATTAAATACCGCGGAAGTGACGAACCGCAAGGTCCTTATCTCTGCTGCAACACACACACACACACACACACACACACACACACATACACATACACACACATACACACGATGTGCAAAATCCGACAACCTCCCCGTGGTGCACATCGGATAATGCCAATGCCGGCGGTACATAACAAAAATGCAAGGGTTATTTTAAAGTGCAAAGTAACTTTGCAAAAAAGAATCGCAGAGACTTGTTTTTTTTTTAGATTAAAGAGGAAGCTTTGAGCTTACTACTGCTACAAACGCCATCCCCGAAAAAAATTTTAGCAAATCCCTGCAGTCCATCAAACTTTGCAATTTTCAATATGGTAAACATGCCCTCAGATTTATAGACTTACAGTAATAGCGATTTATTAAACTTAAAATTGAGATATAGTATCTTAAAGTAAAGATTTCAGGCTTTAATTTAAAAAAAAAAATCATTCTCTTACAATGATTTTTCGTAGAGTTATCGTCATCTAAAGTTGGCCAATTTTTGCCCAAAATTTTTCTGTCATAATTTTTTCGAGCAGTATATATATATATATATATATATATATATATATATATATATATAATATATAATATATATAATATATATATAATATATATAGTATATATTATATATATACTAGGTGCGCAACTAAGTTTCCGGGTTTCACACATGGATGGCGCTAACGACACATGTAGTCGACATACATGTCTGAAGTTGTGTTTCTTTTATAGCTTGGACATCTGTCAACAACAACCAGTCATAATACCAACATATATCGCAACGCAAAAATATTTTTTCTAACAATGAAGATGTTAAGTTTTGTGCCAAATAAACACCATTTGCGGGAAGCTTTGCTTTTCTGCTTTAACTTGAAAAAAATGCAGCTGAAGTACGTCGTTTGCTTGAGGAAGCCTACGACGAACATGCAGCATTGAAAACTACCTGTGAAGATTGGTTTAAACGCTTTAGAAGTGGCGATTTCGACACTAAGGACAAGGAGCGCTCCGGAAGTCCAAAAACAATTGAGGACGCCGATCTGCAAGCGTTATTGGATGAAGATAATACGCAAACATAAGATCAACTTGCCGAGGCATTAAACATGACTCGCCAAGGTATTTCCAAACGTTTACACGCCATGGAAAAAATTCAAAAGGAAGGAAATTTGTTGACTGAGAGACAGATGGAAAATCGAAGAGCTACTTCTGAAATTTTGCTTTTGTGGCATGAAAGAAAGAGTTTCCTGCATCGAATTGTTACTGGCGATGAGAAGTGGATATATTTCGAGAATCCCAAACGCAAAAAATCGTGGCTTTCACCTGGCGAAACATCAACATCGACGGCACGGCCAAATCGCTTTGGAAAGAAGACAATGTTCTGCGTTTGGTGGGACCAGAAAGGAATCGTGTACTATGAGCTGCTGAAACTGGTCGAAACTGTTAATGGGCATCGCTACCGACAACAACTGATCAATTTGAACCATGCATTGCTCGAAAAATGGTCAGAATGGGACACGAGACACGAAAAAGTGATATTGCAGCACGACAACGCTCCGTGCCATCGCACTTCCATCGTCCAGGACACCATCAAAACGCTGAAATGGGATCTACTACCGCACCCGTCGTATTTACCAGACCTGGCCCCTTCCGATTATCACTTGTTCCGGTCGATGGCGCATGGCTTGGCTGGACTACACTTGGCTAATTTCGAAGAAGTGCAAAATTGGTTGGATGAATGGTTTTCAAAGACGCGTCGTTTTATCGTCGCGGTATTCATGTATTGCCAGAGAGATGAAAAAAATGTGTAGCTAGCGAGGGACGATACTTTGAATAAACCATT